TTACTCTGTTTAGGGGGAGGGAAAAAACATGCTTTATTTATATAATTAGATATTATGCAGAAACTGTTACTACAAATAAATCACATCTATATGTACCAACATGGATAAAATCTAAAAACAATATTGAGTGATAAAAAGTGAGCTCCAATAGATATGTGTAATGTGAAACTATTTATTACACCTGAAAAACCACAAAGCAATAATATTTATTTTTTATGAAAGCTACACACACCCAGAGGATAAATATAAAACTATGTAGGGGAATGATATATATAAACTTTTTGGGACAGAGGAAGGAGTAAAGAATGTGTGTATGACTTCCTCTATTCATATATTTTTTTCCCAAAGGAAGAAATATGAGAGTAAACAAGTCAAAGCTTATCAACGTTTGCTTAATCTCGGATAAATTCGTGTCTTAATTACTTTTTGTTTGTTTGAAATGTTTTCTAACTCCACTGAATTTCTTTTTAAATTGAAAGATGAAATCAGGTGAGAAATCATCCTTCTCTAAATGCAGCTGTTTTTCAGCTGTTGATATTTGCTTCTCAGATCTCTGCCCTGCCTGGAATTTTAAGGCAAAAAGAGGAAGGATAAACCATGATATCTTAATTAGTGAACCTCACCTTATCCAAAAATCAAAGAGGGGGCATTCTATACCTCCTGGCCCAGATCCAGTGCCTGAGGCAAGAGCAGTGTCTCCCAGTCTCAAGTCGTTGAGCTGGGCCCAGGGGATTTGCTCAACAGCCTGAGCCTGCTTGGAACTGGAGTCCTGCCGGAAGCAGTAGAGGTATTTCACTCTGGGTGCTTCCTTACAAACTGTGTGGGTGGACAGTTCCACCCTGTCTAAACTTGGCATGTAGGGTCAGCACCACTGCTATCTCCCTGTTTTGAGAAATGCTAAAGTAAAACTGGAGAAATTTACAGCAAAACGCTTCTTTAACTAGTATAGCACAAAGATGATAAATATAATGGCTCAGAGGTGAAATTTAGCTCTCATTTATACACTGTTTAGCCCATACTATGTCTTTTGTAAAGTTTTGACTTAGTGGCTAATATTTAGAATTCGAGAAGTTTCTACTAAAAATTGGATTCCCAACTTCTCTCCTGAAGTGATTCTGATGTGATTGGGCCCGAATTCTAGAATGCCAGCAACTGGTTGGGTGTAAACATTGTCCCCACCCCATTGCCTCACTCATCACCTCACGAGCTGGCTCCATAGGGGTTTCAACTTCGTCATTTTACAGATGAGAAAACTGAGACTCAGAGTGGTCAACTGCCTTGCCCAACATCAGAGTTTCTCTGGGAAGAGAGCCATGTTGGCACATGTCACCCAATTATCAGATAACATGTGATACCCCTTCTCTATAAGATGAAGGCACATTTCATAATTTTAATGGCATGTTTTCTGTCTAATCCAGCAGGTATGATGAAAATGATAATCTTTAAAGCTTTAAACAAAGACTTATTTCAAGTGATGAGAAAAACAATACAAGTGGATTAATTGTAGTATCAGCAAGAAGTCACCAAGATTTGGCCAAAGTCAAAACATAAAAATTTATATGTAAAAATAACAAGGGAATCTAAGAATAGAATTGAAAATGGCAAAATTAGAGGTTGCACAGTCACAGAGCATCACTTTTTTAGGCTGCTCATTACACAAGTACAGTTCCCCCACCCCTTCCCAACCTCATTCTTCTTCTGAGTCCAGGAGATGTGCAAAGCCTGCTCTGGAACTCTTCCCCAGGCCTTCCCACAATATATACTCCCTTTACAATTGTTGCTTTTTTGGATTTATTTGTTCCTGGTTAAAACTAGTAAATAATCCACACTTATTTGCATGAGTTTTATCCATCATGCCCAGAAATATTTAGTTACCTGGGCTGGTAAGTGCATTTTTGTTAGAACAAGCTACATGAAGAGATTACACAGATTACAAAAATTCTTCAGAATGGGAAACACAAAATAACCTAAATGTAAATTGATAGGGGAATGGTTCAATTAACTTTAGCATATTATGAAAAACTATGCAAGAGAGCAAAAAGAAAAAGAGGTAGATCCGAAATACTGACATGGACAGATCTGTAGGTTGCAAAAGGATATAGTATAGAGCATGGTATCAATTATGTTAAAAAACACAAAGGCCTGTAAGTTTCTGGTCCATATATGTGTATGTAAATGCATGGAAAATATCTGGAAAACATGAAACTGGTGAGAAGGGATACCTCTTGGAAGACAGGGAAATGATGAGAGGTTTGGGAATAGTCAATGAACGCTTTAGTTTCATCTACAATGTCTATAATGTCTTCATTTAAATTTTAAATAAAATAGAAAAAAAAAACCCGAATGATATGTGGCCATCTGCTCATCCTTGGACACGAAATGTACTACACCATATTATCACCCAGCTTAGTTTTTTAAGTGTAAAAATAACGCAAAGCATCTGAAAAGTTAAATTTCACTTTCACAAGTTAAAATCAAGTCAGTCCACTCTAGGAGGCACAATAGTTTCCAGGACACTCATCTTTAACGGCAAAGAATAAGAAATATGGGGTGGATTTAAATGAACCCAGGATCACTAAAATTCCAAGTCAAAATCAAAACAAAGTGACAGATTGCTTAATTTCTCCTGAGTTCTATTTCCAAGGTGCTCCTAATTTTTCAGCGATAGCATTTGCTTTTCCCAACAAGAGCAATGGAACGCTGGCGGACCAGTTTCGACAAGGAGGAAACCGAGCCCCAGAGAGGTGAGGGCTGAGTGCGAGGTCCTAACCGGGGAGCCTCAGACTCGGCGCTCTCAGCCAGCCTCAGCTGCGGGCTCTGATTCACCAACGTGACATCGCGCATCCCCACATCCGGTGTTCTCACGTATCATCCCTGGCGATTATCTGTGTATCTGTGTATTTATTTACTGACCTTTGAAGGCCTTTCCCCCCATCCCTGATTCCTAGGGAACCGGACAAGCCCCCTCCTCGCCTGTTCCTCCAGCCCCGCGCATTCCACCTGTTCCCCCGGCATCCCGCTTGCCGCACGCTGCCAGTCCCGGGACCTGCGTGGAGCCCTCAGCCACGCCCCTGGCCAGGCAGCGGCTCCGGGGCAGCGCGCTCGTGCTTTGGGCCCGGGTCGGTGGGGGTCGCGCAGACGGCACTCACCTTGCTGGCCGCGGGCGCCGCCGCCAGGAGCACCAGCAGGAGCGGCAGCAGGAGCACCGGCGGCCCGCGCGCCGTGCCGGGGCGCATGGTGGGCGCCCGCTCCGAGCCCCAGCGTGTCCGGGGACCCGCAGGCTCTCAGGCCACCGCGTCCCCTGCGCAGCGCGGGTTGGGGAGCGCCGGCTGGGGAGCTCGCCTCGCCAGCGGGCCAGGGCGGGTTTTGAAGGGCTCGGCTGCGCGGTCCGTCCCTCCCCACCCAGGCTTTTGGTTGTGGCTCCAAGGGAGGGAAGACGTGGCTCAGGTCCCGCCCTCGTACCCCCTCCCTCCCGACTTACCAGGCAGTGTCCCTTCGACCCGGGCAGCGTGCCCAGGAGGCGAGAAAGGGCCGGGCTCCTGTGGGGCAGGTGGGCGCGGATCCAGGGTAAGGGGTTAAGAAGATGAAGCTCCCAAGGTCCCGGGACCCAGGCGGGGTAGGGGGATGCAAGTCGGAGGTGGGGGCTTTGGGGGCGGTTGTGGGGAGGCGGCCGCGCGGGGTGGAGGGAGTGGCCAGCGGCCCTGCCCAGATTAAGCGGGAGGCGCGCGGGGCGTCTGCATTCGCGAGGCCCGGCTTGCTCCCAGCGCCCGCGGCCGCGCCTCTGGGGGCTCTTCCCTTCGCCAGCCCGCCTCCGACCTGCACGCGCGGATTTGGCCGTGAGAGCGCGGCGAAGAGGCGGCGGGTCGCGGGGGGATCTGGGCTAGGTGGAGCCGAGAGGGGCGCGTCCCGCGGGCGGGCGAGGCGGCAGCTCCCGGCTCTGAGGCTCTGAGGTGTCCCGCCGAGGTAAGGCGCCCGCAGGCCGGGCAACCGCTGCGCCAGGGGCCGGCACACCTGCCCGGGAGCCGGGCGGAGGAGGAGGTGTGGTGTTCAAGGGGTGGCGGCCGGGCCCGGAGCTGTGGCCCGGGGGTCACGAGAGGAGAGCTCGTCTGGCTCCCGAGTTTGTGCGCCTGGGTTTGAACCGGGCGCTGTGTTTTGATTAATTTGGAGGCTCGAGTTACCGGCCTGGCAGCCTGGGCACTGTAAAATGCCAAGAGCAGGAGGCAGCTGAGGAGAAAGCAAGCCCTTTCTCCGCTGAGTTGAACTGGATTTTCAGGCTAAATCTTATCTGCGGAAATGCAGGGGAAAACAGGACCGACTCCGGGCAGGGTATCTCCCCACGGAGACTGCTCTTCCTGCAGTGGCCTTGGGCGCAGACACACAGATCCGGAGTGTCAGGGCAGCCTTCCAACGGGCTCTTGCCTTTTCTTGAGCCAGGGACTACTTTGGCGAGGTGAAGCATTTAGACCCCTTCTCAGAGTAATATTGTTAAATGCGTAAAATATAATTAAATCAGAATCGGTTTTACTGGAATACAATTATCAAAGCACTAAGTCATGATACAGTAACATACGTGCGTCATCATTATTGCATGAAATAGCTAAATCTAACAGCAGGTCTATTAAATAACTATAATATCAGAGTAGTGACTACAGATGGGATTTAAAGATAACTGCCCAAATTAAAACGTGACATGAAAATACCGGTGGGAGCAAACTCTCAAGAACTGTGGTCTGTTGCTTCTACTTATAACCGAAGGACATGCGGTCCTTCAGTACCTTACCTGCAGTAAGTATAAAGGCATAATTTTTTCCCCATCCAATCCAAGTTTACAGATCACTTGAATTCCATCCCCAGGTTAAGAACCGTTGCTTTGGAGCAATGTTGTTGATATCTGGGATAATTGGTTATTTATTAAACACCAAGTGTAAACTATGCAGTTGGTCACCGATTATGGGGAACCACTTTCTTGCAGTTAGAATGGGATCTATTGGTATCTTAGACCTGTGTAGCCATGTAGGTAGGCAAAACCCTAATAGTGAATGAAGATATACATTCTCACCTTTTCTTTCTTTTTTTTTTTTTGGCTGTAGAGTGAATTTTACAGTCGTTGTTGTACCTTTTATGCCAGTGCTTTTCAGCTGTGGCTGTGCATTAGCATCTCCTTAGCAGAATCTAAAAAATCTGCTATCAAGACCATCCCAAGCCAATTATATCAAACTCTCTAGCAGTGGGAGTCAGGCATCAGTGTGTTTTAAAGTTCCCAGTGCAATCAAGTTTGAGAGCCACTGTTTTCACGCACATTTTGGTTAGCTACATTGAATTAGGGTCTCCTCCTAGTAGAATGATAAAAAGGACGTACATTAAACTCTTTATTAGACTTAAGGACACTGGAATTTGTGCTCAGACCACAGATGTTGCAGTGTGGTGTGTAGTAGCTTCTCCCCATTGGTTGGGAAAGTTCTTACAGAACCTTCTGCTATCCTTGCGGGGTAAAATAGCAGGTGTTCTGTTGATGAAGTGACAGTGTCCAAGAGTACTGAGAGGCACATGATAATCTTTCATGAACTGAAATTAACTTCCTTAAAAAAAAGTAAAAACAAAAAAATCTCAATGTCGTTGTTAAATGCTCCTTCTCCTTGCTGAATTTTAGGAGATTTCTCAATTTGAATTTTGGTTGCCTTTTCCTGAAACCAAGTCATTTTAATGGAAGACCAGACTTGGCTTTATTAACTTGGGAATAGGAGGCAGCAGTCAACTGCAAGTCATTTCTGATGCAGTGACAGAGCAGGAAAGAAACGTATCTAAGAGTCAGATTTAACCACCCATTTCCCACCTGCCCACCACACCCCCACCCTCTTCTTTAGTGCAGTGTTTTGGTGTGCTCACCAGGTGGTATTAATCGATCGGAATTCCTGATTTTCAGAAACTGTCTTGAGGTCAAGAGAGTTGATTTTTTCACAGTTGGTTCTTTAAATGCGAAAAAGCAAAAGGAAAGAAGGATGATTCTTTTTGTACATGCAAAGGACACAGAGATCTCTGTTTTTGACTTTGATACCATATAGGGGTTTTGAACAAAACGAGTGGTCATTACCTTTGACAAATCCTATAGAATTATTTTTGTCCCCTTTTTATAATCACAACATCATATCTGTTTTCTGCAGTGTCTGCTCCCCTACATATAAACCCTATTAGGGCAGGGGCCTTTTTTATGTTCTTTACTACTGTTGAATGAATGAATGAAGTTGTCACTATTTGCTGAATGATTGAATGAATGAAGTTGAATGACTTCTCAGATTCACCCAGCATTCTCATTCAGTCCATTTTCTTCCAAAGTTCATGCTCTTTCTCTAGCCTTCATCATAGGTGTAGGGATGTGCCTCTGCTTTTGAGGAAATATACTTCTCCCGGCTGCTCAGAGCCGCTTCTACAATCGTGTTTTACTTCATCTGCCCTCTTAGACTTTCCTTTTCTTTCAAGAACTTCCTTTTTTCAACACCTGTGAGACAATTAGACTCCTAGGTGCTTTTATAATCTCAGAGTGGTTGCCAGCTCGTGCCAATTCTTGCCACCACATCTAGGCATTCTCTGGCTGCTTCCTTAGTTCCTGCACTTACCATCTGTGCATTATAGTAGCCTTCCTGTTAGTTTCTTCACCTGCAAGCTCTCTCCTCTGAAATCCATCTTCTGTGTGATTGTCGGTTACCATTGAAAATTGCACCTTGTGTTAGCAAGGACAGGTGACTGTGGGGGCAGTTACAAACAATCCCCCAAATCCAGAGGCTCACAGTTAAAGGAGTTTTCCCGCCATTTACACTACATATTCATCACAGGGCCTGGGGAGCTGGCAGTGGGATGGAGGGTCGGCTTATCACAGCCACTCAGGGACCTCCTGGAAAATCCCTCTCAATATGTTTTTCTCTGGTAGCCTCAGAAGGTGAAGAGAATGTGCCAAATCAAAAACTACCGTACAAGCCTCCACCTGGATGTGACACATACCACTTCCCCTCACGTTTAACAGGCCAAACTGGTCACGTGATCATGCTTCATTCTGCGAGGGGCGGGGAAGTGAAATCTATCACGCATCAAACAGGGCGGGAGATTTGTGGTGAGGGTTTGTAGTACCCATCACATTCATCATGTCATTTGCTTGTTTAAAGCTTCTAGAAGTTCCCCTTTACCTTCACAGCTGATTTCACACCTCTTAGAGTAGAACAGGTGGTCTCAAGTAAACTTCTTTTGTTTTATCTCCTGTGTCAGCCCAAGCTTCTCATGGTTTCTCAAGTTCACTCTGCATACTTCCTAACCTTACGCCTTTGTATTTGCTATTCCCTCTGCCTTCAGGGACCTCCTCCTTGGGCTGTCTGATGCAACTACTTGTACCTTAAGATCTGAGTCAAAGATCAAAGGTTCTGGTCCCTATGAAGACCTTTGTCCGGACCTTTATTATATAGCACAGAAACAGTGTGAGGTAATTTATTTTTCCGAATTACAAAGACTTCGAGGGAAGGTACAGAGACTTTTTTTTAAAGATACAAGAACTGGAGAATTTTTAAAAAATAAATTTCTGGAAGTATAATTTTTGTTCGATAAACTGCATTCACTTAAAGTATACAATTCCAGGAGTTTTGCAGATGCGTACAGCCTGTGAAACCAACACCACGATCAAGTTACAGGGCTTTTGTGTCGCTCCCAAAAGTTTCTTCCTACCCCACTTGCAGTCCATTCCTCTCTCCACCCCCAATTCCCAGACAACCACTGATGTGCTGTCCCTCACAGTAGACTGCATTTTAGTTGGTATTAGATGGCGTTTTCTAGAACTTTTTGTAAATGTAATCATACTGTATGTACCCTCTTGCATCTGGCTCCTTTGACTCAGCGTATCCATATTCAGAATCATCCACATTGTGCGTATTAGGAGTTTGTTCCTTTCTATCGCTGAGTACTATTCCTTCATGAGGATATCAACTGTTTTTTAAAATCCATTTACCTGTTGTTGGAAATTTGGATTGTTTCCAGTTTAGGGCTACTACAAATAAAGCTGCTATGAATGTTTTTCTACAAGTCTTTGTGTGGACATGTTCTTTCATTTCTCTCGAGTAAGTACCTAAGAGCGAAATGTCTGGGTCATATGGTACATCGATATTTAATTAGAAAAGAAATATTAATAATTTTCCAAAGTGGTTTCATCATTCTGTATTGTCACCAGTAATGTATGGGAGTTCTGGTTACTTTATAT